TGTCATCTGTTCTGCAACTGCATCTCCGAGCCCAGGAATTACAGGTGATTATTAGTCTTCTTGTATTGTTCAAGAGAAGTGGTAAGATTTACTTAAAGTAGATTTTCAAACAGGCCCTGTTAAAATCTTGACACCCTGAGGTTACATGTACCAATCAGAAGTTTTAATTACATTTGTACATGTAAAAGTTTATAAGAACACCAGAAATGGGTACCTTTAAGTTGAGGCACCTCTTAAAATTTATAACACAGACCCTTTGCTATTGACTCTTCAGAAGTTCTTGTGATTATTTCTTGGATATTTTGTTTCCTTCCAATCTCAACACTGTCATTATAAAGGTTTCAACCTTTTAAAAATATTTTGAAATTGGGGTTTATTTTTTAACATGTTTGCCATCCCAAAACCAAAAGACCATTTTTTCTTAATTGACCACAAAAAATAGGGAAAAAAGAGTACTTTTCTTTCCAAAGTGCATCCAAACTCTGAAAAATGTCAAATCTTGTGTTTATGTTGGGCTGGTAACATCACTGAGAAACACCTTAACAGCCAGCATGCATACATGCCTGGTCCAGTAGTTCTTCATGTGACACATAATGCTTCGATAAGCCACTTCAGAGTGACATTCTTGAAATCAAATTTGTGGATGTCTCAAATTGTCAGAATAATTGCGAGCACATTTGTTTCATAGGAAGACTTACAATTTATTGAAAGTGAAGCATTACATAATGTTGAAAGAGAAAATTTTACATGTGTTGTGGACTCTGTTGACTTTGCATGTGTCACTGCATATGTTCACATGTACGTACATGTACATACACATGTACATGTATACACACAGGTGTCTGGCAACAGACTACTCTTACACTGTGGAGAATAAGCAGTCCATGTAGCAGTATCCGGACCACTGTTTGGCATCAGGTTGGCACTGTGCACATGTATGTTCATGCATGTGTGTTGTTCTTGTGAAAATTCATATCTTATCACAAACTAGTAAGAAATGTGTCAAGTCCTTGTAGTGACAGGGATGATAGATACCGTCCCCATGACAGTGACAATTATTGAATCATCAGTGTCAAGGATGATAGCCCAGGACCTGCCATGTAAGTTGATAGCACCAAGCCATGTGCAATACTGGTAAAAGTACATCAGAACAAATTAATGGCCAGGGCCCAGCTGGAAAACACTACAGGTCCGCAGGTGATTGATGAGGCAGTCCACGTGGTTTGCCTTCATTGTTTCCATTAATATTCAAGTTGCTTCTGAAGACACTGCACTCGTCTGAGCAAGTTCAAAAATCTTTTTGGCATATCACTTCATGGCAACAACAGGAAAGACATCGATCATCGTGTTGATAACTTTGTCCAGGCTTGATTCGGTATGTTCATTGTGGATGTGTTATAGCATGCATATATGGAAACCTGTAGAACACCAAGTCTGTGTTTTTGCGGTCATTCTCGTCCAAAACCGTGAAATACATGAGACTGGAGTATGTTTATTTCGTGACAAAAATATAACAATCACACAGTTAACCCTTAAGGATGCGAAATCAATGGAGTGGACAGCAACATAGCATTTTGAGCATGCTGGGCTTACTCCTGTATCTCCCAGTGACGTTTGAGAGTTACTTGAACTTTTGCATTTCTGACTAAAATAAGCAAGGAAAGGTTCTTCGGCAGCTCATATTTTATGTTTTTCAACCATGCATAGAAAAGGTCTCCCATTTGTTCATGTTTGTCACAGAAGACGGTCTTGTCCACTGATGTTAAAATGTTTGTTTTGAAGAAAGCAAGTTTCCTTTTCATTACAAATGTACCACTTTAACAGTTGCAATAAATTGCACCTTCTCTTTTTAGTTTTGCACCTGGTAAAATGCAAAGTCTTGTACCAGCCAAATTAACAAACAATATCCAGTACCGGCTAGACAATGTGGAAGTTTCAAGAAGTATGTTTTATTTCTCCAGATGGCAGTGTTCGATTGATGGATGGAAGTTCATCCTCTGAGGGGCGTGTTGAGGTCTACTATCAAGGTGACTGGGGAACTGTCTGCGATGACTACTGGGATATCGACGATGCCACTGTTGTCTGTCGTCAGTTGGGCTTCCCAAGTGCTGTCAGAGCTATTTCAGCTGCTGCTGAATTTTCTGTTGGTGTCGGGCCCATTTTACTTGATAATGTTGAGTGCATAGGAGATGAAAGTACACTGGCAGATTGCATCCATGCAGGATGGACTAACAATAACTGTGGTCATTCAGAAGATGCTGGAGTTGTCTGCTCCGCACCTGCAGGACTGCAAGGTACATGTGAATTGTTAAATTATATAGAGATCAGAATTTAGTGATCTGATTAGTTGTCCTTTGTGTGTGTGTTTTTAATGGAGTGTTTGGTTGGTAAACCTTGTCTTCCAGTTTAATAATGTTATTTTGATTTGATTTTCTAACTTATCAGTGATTTTTTACATTGCAGAGATGCCAATTTGTGTGGTTCAGGGATGATTTTTATGATTTGCTTGTTTTTTTTTCAATTCTATGATCCTGGTATTCCACAGTTTGTACATACAGGGTGATTGATGAGTAGTGTTAGAAACCATTGAGGTCAAATTGCCAGCTTGCCCCATTTGACACCATTCAGTACCTGTAGTGTGCCTGAGCCTCCAAAAAGTGTCGCTGGCTTTCCAGACTGTAGTTAGTGCACAAGTACATTCTCATCACTGCAAAAATTTGTTAATGCTCCAATGTTAGGATCATGCTAAGTTGACTGGGTAGAAGACTATCTAGGATTTAATGTGGAATTGTTGCAGAGTATCTGCACTTTGTTTTGCACAATGGTGACAAGTCTAGAAGAAGATCGGGGATAAATACACCAAACAATGGGCCTTTTGCAGGGTCTTTTCGTTGAGAAGCTTACATGTACATATATCTGTTTTGCAAGACGTGTAACTGTGACAGTGTTACCCACACTGGATTTTACGACATTTTGTTGTTTATTTCTATTACTTGAGTGTTTCAGTATTTATGCCTGGCCATCTACTATTCTAGTCAGTCCTGATGAAGATCTGCGGATCGAAACGTTGACTCTATCTTATGTTCTACATGTTGTGTTAAACTACACGTAGCTCAAAAAAAATAAAAAACATAATTTAATTTATATCATGTAGAGTTATTTGACAGTTTGTGGAAGCCAACTTTTTTTTAGAATGAAAGGGATTGATAAAAGCCTCTTTGTAGAAGTGTATATTATCTGAAGATTTTGTTTTGATGTTTTTATAGATGGCAGTGTTCGGTTGGTTGATGGAAGCTCATCCGCTGAGGGGCGTGTTGAGGTCTACTATCAAGGTGACTGGGGGACTGTCTGTGATGACGTGTTTGAAATAGAAGATGCTACCGTCATCTGTCGTCAGTTGGGCTTCCCAGGTGCAGTAAGAGCTGTGTCAGCTGCTGCTGAATTCTCTGTTGGTGATGGGCCCATTTTACTTGATGATGTAGAGTGCTTAGGACATGAAAGTACACTGGCAGAGTGTACCCATGCAGGATGGACTGTCAATAACTGCGGTCATTCAGAAGATGTTGGAGTGGTCTGTTCTACAACAACTGCAGGTCCAGAGGTATCAGGACTACCAGGTAATGTTGTTTTTTTATTGTCAACCTAACTGATTTGTCCTGTACATTTTGGCAATTCCAGTTTTGTTTTGACCACAAATGGTGCAATCATGATTTTTTTCACAGTCTTCTTAGTTGTTGGCTGCATTGCATTGTCTGGA